TCTTTTCTAAACCATGAATTAGAAATCATGCCTTTGATAATCATCCTCGGACCGGTTCTTAATATGAATTTTCGTGTACTGGTAACACTCTTTTCCATGTTCTCCCTCATTTTGTACGCTAGACAGCTCGGGAAAGTCTTTAAATGACAGAAAGCTTGTCACTGCTTAATGTTCTGAATAACGAACAATAGAAATTCGAATCAGGCATCTCAGTTGCTTAGTTCATTTTACGAGGATGATTATCAAAGGCATGATTTCTAATTCATGGTTTAGAAAAGAAAAGATTAGAAGTAGAATGGATGTTGACTGAAGACAGCTACTTTCAATGCATGGGATAAAGATAAGACGATAAAAGTGACAAACAGGTGATGAATAGAAATGGTAAATAAGAATATTACATACTAGAATTACTACATAGGGATAGAACCGATCAAGTGCTTTATTTGCGCTAGTCGTAGATATAGTAATTCGTAAGAATAAAAAACATGTCATTCGACAGAGAATTGAAAACGGAACAAATATAGCAGTTTGCTGACGTTCATCTATGGCATATTTTTGCTTTTCTACAGGTTTTATAGAAACCCCTTCATAAAATTTTAATTTATTTTTTTAACTTTAAAAGTAAACAAATAAGCCATTAATAATGTTGATGAATTCAGGTTGTCAGATTGGGTTACTTAGACCGGTTTTGATCTTTGACAAGAGGACTTAACATAATCTGATCGCTATTTAACGTAGTATTCCCTTATGTTACAAGGTAAGCTTATATAAATTATTTCGTCTTAGTTTTGAAAGAAAGTGTGATATTCCAGCGTTGTATTTCTCTTGCATTACTTGTTAACCGATATCTAATTAGAAGCAACAATCGATGATTGTTACCTGAAATTATAACAAAATAGAACTGCGTAATTCACAACATTTCCGCGTTATCAAATAAGAAAGTTATCATTTCTACGATAAAAATGCTGGATCTCAGACGATGAATATTCATTTCGAAAACCGAATACACGTAAAAGAAACCTACAAAATTTGCTAAGCTAAGTTTACTTAAAAATCGTCAAAAGTGATAGAAATGAAGAAAAGCAGAATCACGTCATAGGTGAACGTTAGCCAAATCCTATGTTCAGCTTTTAATTCTCTATCGAATGGTATATTTGGCGCAGTTTGAACACTTACCTGTGTAGAGTTATCTAAGTTTTATAACAGTTCGATTTTTGGTATTTAAAATTTGAATCTCCTGTTGATGAATCATCGAAAATGTCATTTACACATTTCAACTTTTACAATGCAATGTGTATTGCTTTTCGAAAAGATAAAAAAGCTCTTGTCTTGCTTAAGTTGATCATCCGAAAATGTTTCTCTTCCTTTAGAGAAACGAGACGTGTAATGGACAGTTTGGGGCCAGTAATTTTATGTGGGAAAGGATTAACAATAGAAAATGTGATTGCAGTTGCTCGCTATAAACATTCAGTAGAACTAACAAATGATTATCGTATACTTAAAGGAATGATTGATTCTTGTGAGTATATATTAAAAATTGTGAGTGAATCTCAGGTGCTTTATGGTGTAACAACACTATTTGGCGGTATGGCACATCGATCAATCTCAAGTAATGAAGCTAGTGAATTACAAGAAAATTTAATTTGTACCCTTAAAACCGGTGCTGGTTCATTTATACCCTTAGAAGATTCAAGAGCAGCAATGTTATTAAGAGCGAATTCACATTTACTAGGTGTAAGCGGTA